AAAAAAAAAAAAAAAAAAAAGAAAAAGTTGCAATATAGAACCGAAGGTAAGGAGGTTGCTGTGGAATTTCTTACTTATAGGAGTGTAAGTTGGGAGTTGAATGTATAGTAATCTCCCCTTGTCTTTGGGAGATATGTTCCAAGACCTCCAGTGGATGCCTGAAACCATGGACACTACCAAACCCTGTATATGCTATGTTTCTCCTCTACACACATACCTCTGACACAGTTTAACTTACAGATTTGGCACAGTAAGGGAAGTGGAACAAGAATAACAATATACTGCGGTGAAAGTTAATGTGAGTGTGGTCTCTAAGTATCTTACTATACTGTACTGAAGTTAGCTAAAACTGAGAAAGTGGAACCGCAGATAAAGGTGGAGCTTCAGTATGCCGAAGGCTCATCTGTGAGTAATGAGTAAGGCATAAGAGCTTGTGCCATGAGAAGTCCACTACTCTTTTTCAGTAGACATTGGATGGATTAGTACCTGTCGTTAGCAGCTTTACTGACATTTGTATAATATTCATTCATTACATTCATGCTTCTAGCCTGTGTAACCTAATAGTTGGGAAGGGGACTGGTACCAGAGTATGAGGAATCCTAACTAAAAGAAATGGCTTGACTCCCTTTGCGACATCTCAAGATTCTAGGCTTCTCTTTTAATTTAGAGTAAAATTAATGGGCTGAGACGTGAGTATGGGTAATTGTATGATTTACTCCCCTCCCTGCCCCTCTCCCCATTCTTTTCTGACCTCTTGTCACTTTTTTGCTTCAGCTATGGTGTTCTCCTTCCTAGCTATTTCTTGAACATGCCGAGGGTGTTCCTGCCTCAGGGACTTTTTACACTCATGCTTCCTTCTTCCTGGTACGTTTCCCACAGATGTCCACTAACTTAAAACTCTTACCTTCTTCAGATCTTCCCAAATGTCCTCTTATTTCTGAGGTTTTCCCTGACTTAAACTCTGCCTCCTTGTTTCCATTGTTTTTTTCTTTCTTTCTTCTTTTTTTTTTCTTTTTGAGATGGAGTCTCACTCTGTCGCCCAGGCTGAAGTGCAGTAGCACAATCTCAGCTCACTATAACCTCCACCTCCTGGGTTCAAGGGATTCCTCTGCCTCAGCCTCCTGAGTAGTTGGGACTATAGGCGCACACCACCACACCTGGCTAATTTTTTATATTTTAGTAGAGATGGGGTTTCACCTTGGTGTCCAGGCTGGTCTTGAACTCCTGAGCTCAGGCGATCCGCCCGCCTTGGCATCCCACAGTGCTATAATTATAGGCGTGAGCTACCACGGCTGGCCCTATTTTTATATTTTCCAACTCCATCACATGTTCTTTGAGAGCTAGGACCTTAGTGTATTCTCACTGCCCAGGACCCAAAAAGCATTTGGGAAATGTAGGAAACAGAACCATTTGAAAAGCCTTCATATAGTCCAATTACATACATTGATATTTTTCAGCTTTACTTTTGAAGGACTTGGTTAAGCTCTTTGGTATAACAGAACCTAGAAATATGCTATTTCAGATCTTTTAAGTTGCGCTTAAATGATTTAGTCACAGAAAAAAAAGCATTTTTTTCTTGAAGAATTAGTAAGTAATACTCTGTTGTCCTTTATAGTAAGTCTTGCAAGTAAAAATTACCCAAATTTATAATTTGGACTTCCATAGTAGGTAACCTATTATAACCTGAAGAAATCTTTTTTTGCCTCCTACTTTTCAAAAACTGGGTTTGAAGCTTTAAGACCTAAAGAACATGTGAGACCAGAATGTATAACCATTATACACACATATTTTCATACACACACATATGACAGTTTTATGAAAATCATGTATGTGTGTATGACACAGGATATCTTGGGGTGCCACTTTGCCAGCTGGAAATTTCTGCAGCTGGTAGCACTCCTGCCCAGGCCTCACTTGGCTCCAAGCTGGCCGCTGGACTTGCCCTGCCCACTTGGTCTGGCAGGCTGTGCTCAGCTTATGCTACTGGCCTGGATCTCACACCCATCAAGGGCAAGCCAGGTGCGCTGGCTGCTGAGGTGGGGTGGGTGGCTCCAGGCGCCAACTCCGTTTGAGGCTGCAGCTGCACCAGGTGTACTGCAAATGGTTTCCACCTTAGGTGCCGGCATTTGGATGAGGGGAATGTAGTAGTGCCCAAAAAACTTGGAGATAGTAGCAACCGCAGAACTCCAAAGAGGGTATTACAGTGTGTTACAGCTCTGGGTTGGGGAGTCCTGAGGTCAGGGCCTCAGAAGGGTGGCAACTTGTTCGTGTTATAGTTCCCTTCGTACTTGCTGTTCTGGGAGTCCTGAGTTCTTGTCCCATGTCCAAGAAAAATGAGGTTATGTGGGCAGTTGGAGAGTGAGCATGGCAGAAAAGAGTTTTCTTGAGTCATGGAGTGGCTCTCGGAGGAGAGGGGACCCAGAAGCAGGTGGTCCCAGTGTGTGACTGAACCTGGAGTTTTTATGGGCTCAGAGAGTGGGAGGTGCGGGCGGTGGGTAGCCTTGGAAAAGACAACATTCAACTAGTGAAAAAGTATTATTCAGAAATAACCAATCAGGAAAGAATGGGCAAATAGGAATAGAAGTTCTCACTCCAGTCGTGGACTTCACTTGGAACTGGAATTCCAGTTTTCAGGCTTTAATTTGTCTTTGGTTTGAAGGTCGGGTTTCAAATTCCTGTCTGCCTAGGAATTTGTCTGGCTCCGGTCGCTATCTTGAATATGCATGTTTATACTATATATACATACGCATGTTGTATGGTTAAATATCTGGCTATGGAGGTAGGAATAAACGTTGTATAAATGCAGATATGAGGAAGAAATGGCCTAAAATATAAATGGTGGGTACTTGGGTGAAGGGATTGCATTAGAAAAAAGAGAACTTAGAATCGTGGTAATTACAGTGGCGCATGCCTGTAATCCTAACATTTTGGGAAGCTGAGGCAGGAGGATTGCTCGAGTCCTAGAGTTCAGCCTGGGCAACATAGGAAGACCCTGTCTTCACAAAAAAATAAAAACATCTGCTGGGAGTTGTGGCACACACCTGTGATCCTAGCTACTTGGGAGGCTAAGGTGTTTTGTTTTATGCTTACAAGGGTTATACATTTTAAAAGGATATATTGCTTTTTAGGTAGTTTCTGAAACTACAAGTCAGATACAGGAATTGACTTTTTGCTTTTATTCCTGTGAACTCACTATGCCTTTCTTTTGTTCCAGCTCTGTTTAAGGGAGCCCTTTAGATAAATGTTAGTGACTCACAAGCATGTATTAGTTCCCCATGTTTTTCTTTGTTTTAAAATTCTAGGAATTGAAGCCATTTTTTATGAAGGAAGTTGGAAGTCACTTTGATGATTTTGTGACCAATCTCATTGAAAAATCAGCATCATTAGATAATGGTGGGTGTGCTCTCACAACCTTTTCTGTTCTTGAAGGAGAGAAAAACAACCATAGAGCAAAGTAAGTATGTGCTATTATTTTTTTTAATGCAAACATCTACCCACTATAGTTCAATGGTCAAAATGGACTGTAGCAAATATGCTTGAGTTCACACCCCGGTGCCACCTTTTATTGGTTGTGTGTTGCATTCGGAAAGTTATTTAACCACTTGAAGGGTGGGGTTTTCTTTGTCTTTATGTATGAATTATAACATACATGCATACCTCTTTAAAGACTGACTGCTAGTAAAGTCAGGCATAGTAGCTCATGCCTGTAATTTCAGCACTTTGGGAGGCCGAGGCGGGTGGATCACTTGAGGTCAGTAGCTTGAGATCAGCCTGGCCAACATGATGAACCCCATCTCTACCAAAAATTATAACAATTAGCCGGGTGTGGTGGTACACACCTGTAGTCCCAGCTACTCAGGAGGCTGAGGCATGAGAATCGCTTGAACCCGGGAGGCAGAGGTTGCAGTGAGCAAAGATCATGCCACTGCACTCCAGCCTGGGCAACAGAGACCCTGTCTCAAAAAAAAAAAAAAAAAGACTGACTAATAAAATAACAGAGCCAACACTTGCTGAGTGCTCTACATGATGAATTCATTTAAACCCAACAGTGATCCTCTGAGACAGGTACTGTAACTATCCACATGTTATAGATGTTACAGATGAGGAGACTAAAGCACAGAGTGCTTAAGTAAGTGTTGTCCAGAATTATTACATAGCAGGGACTTGAACCCAGAGCCTGGCTCTAGAGTCCTTGTTCTTTTTCTTTTTTCTTTTTTTTTTTTCTGAGATGGAGTCTCACCCTGTTGTCTGGGCTGCAGTGCAATGGCGCGATCTCGGCTCACTGCAACCTCTGCCTCCCAGGTTCTAGCGATTCTTCTGTCTCAGCCTCCTGAGTAGCTGGGACTACAGGTGCATGCCACCACACCCATCTAATTTTTTGTAACTTTAGTAGAGACAGTGTTTCACCATGTTGGCCAGGCTGGTCTTGAACTCCTAACCTCATGATCCACCTGCCTCGGCCTCCCAAAGTGCTGGGATTACAGGTATGAGCCACCATTCCTGGCCAAATCCTTGCTCTTAATCATATCACCATGTTCCTCTCTGTTGTACTCTATACAATACTGTAATAAAGTACAGTGTGATTAGTATATACTTTTCTAATTGTTGGTTCATCCAGAATAATTGAGTGAAGGCTATCAAAGGCTAATATGTGCCAATTTGCCATTCCATGCTCTTCTTGGTTTTACGCCCCTGTTCAGCGGCATAGAGTGATGTTCTCAAGAATAGTTTTGACTAGTAGTAGCTAAGTGCTGGTAGCAGTATGAAAAGCCCTGAAGAAGATGGTAATGCAAATTGTAAAATGGGGGATTTTAGTAACTCACAGCAACCTTTAAGATCAGGAGGCTGTTGGGAGTTGCTGGAAGTCCTTTGATATCAGAAAGGGTATCAAAAACATCAGTGCAGTTTCATAAGATAGCTCAATAACAGTATGTATGACCTGGAGTGAGTGTGCTTGTAGGCCTATGACCTCAGGGGATCTCTACAAGAAGGAAGAGTGGTTGCCAAAGTCCATAGGAGCTGGGTGTGGTGACCCTTCCATTCTTAATAGTTACGCATGTACGCACCTCACAGCATTGTTCGGAGGGAGTAAATGAAATAACATACATAATATCTGTAACACAGTACTTGAATCAGTAGTGAAAAGGTCATTGGTTAATTAATGTTAGATGATGTTGTTGGTAATATTCTCGTTTGTGGAATTAGATTTCTTACAATACTTGAAGTACTTACATCTAGTTTTAATTTTTTCTCTTCCCAGGGATTTGAGAGCACCTCCAGAACAAGGAAAGATTTTTATTGCAAGGCGATCTCTCTTAGAGTGAGTATTTTTAGTTGTTTTTAAATGTTTGAATTTTTTAAAAAAGTTATTCTGATAGAATCATTGCTTAATATATGAATATGTAATGAGTTTGTTCTGTTTTGTATCTGTATAAATCATTAGTTTTTTTGTTGTATGCACTCTCTTGCTCCTTTCTGATCTTCGCTTCTGTATCTAGTTTCAAAAGAGGAGTTAGGAATAAGAATGGTTATCTGGGTTTGGCACCGTGACTCACACTTGGAATCCCAGCACTTTGGGAGCCTAAGGCAGGCAGATCGTGAGTCTAGGAGTTCAAGACCAGTTTGGGCAACATGGCAAGACTCTCTCTACAAAAAATACAAAAAATTAGCCAGGCGTGGTGGTGCCTGCTTGTAGTCCCAGCTATTCAGGAGTCTGAGACAGGAGGATCACTTGAGCCCGGTAGGTAGAGGCTGCAATGGGCTGAGATTGTGCCACTGCACTCCAGCCTGAGCAAGAGAGAAAGATCCCATCTCTATTAATAATAATAATAATAATAAAATTAAAGGTGCACTTTGGGTGGTTGAATATTTCTTTTTTAATGCTCTCTGAGTACTTTGTTCATACACTCATTTAATAGAATACCGCTGAAATTTAACCTATATTAGTATGGATCATCTGAAATGGTTGGGTTGGTGACACATTAAGTGTGTTATAGTGTACTTTTCTTAGTAGAGACAGTTTCATCATGTTGGCCAGGCTGGTCTTGAACTTGACTCTCAGATGATCCACCCACCTCGGCCTCCCAAAGTGTTGGATTTACAGGCGTGAGCCTACAAAAATTAGCTGGGCTTCGTGGCAGGTGCCTGTAATTCCAGCTACTTGGGAGCCTGAAGCAGGAGAATTGCTTGAACCTGGGAGGTGGAGGTTGCAGTGAGCTGAGATCATGCCGCTGTACTCCAGTCTGGGTGACAGAGCAAGACTCTGTCTCAAAAAACAGTATACTTTTCTTTAAAAAGACACCTTATGCTTATCAAAAGTTACTTTCCGTGAGTCAAATTGTTGCTTACTACTTCACCTAGATAAGAAGGCCGGTTTTCTAAGCGTGTAATGTTCAGTCTTCAGTGTTCTGTCATACTATAATTTGAAGGAATTCATCTTTTAAAATTTATATCTGGGGGAAAACGCAGGCTTTCTACTAAAAATATTAAAAAATTAGCAGGGTGTGGTGGCGAATGCCTGTAATCACAGCTGCTCAGGAGGCTGAGGCAGGAGAATCACTTGAACCCAGAAGGCAGAGGTTTCAGTGAACCAAGATCATGCCATTGCACTCCAGCCTGGGCAACA